GTTTCAAACCACAAATAGGTTAACTTATAAACAACCCGCTAATTTTTATAAGTAAGGTTTTATATTTAAAGTATTATTACACACGCAATTTCAATATTCCAGTCAAGTATCAGAAACCGACTAGAAAAGTAATCATCCCACCGTCCGTTGTTCGATTGTCCGCACAATATAAGGGTGTTTCTATTGGGTGTTATTCACAACATATTTGTTTTCATTAACTCTTCCTGTCTCACGACAATATTATTGAAATTATCATACTATAAATTGAAATTAGTACGTTATCAATAACACTATACTACAGGATATTTAAACACAATTTACTTTCAATGGAATAAAGAGTTTAGAGATAAATGAAACAGGAGATAGGTAGCAGCTCCTAATAACAGTAACAAGTTAAATAATAAAAACTGTGCTAGCCAACCAACTTGCCTAGGCTGGCAGCTATAGCAAATATCTCCCTATGAGGCAATCTATGGGAGAGGCTCATGTTCAGCAGTAGACTTTCGAAAGGCTGTAATAAATGAATGAATGTAACTCTGATAGAATTTTTCATTCGGATATACTTGTATGTATTAGATCAAAGAAAGAAAGATATCAAATCTTTGATCGCTATTGTACATACGAACATAGCTATCTTTAAAAAAAATTATCTCGACGCATAGGAAAACAGCGTTACTTTGGCCAAGAGTCATATATTTTATTACATTCGTGGCAGTTTTCAGTGCACGCATTTGTGTGCGCGCCAACTGAATTATGCGAAAATGTTATCTGTAGTTCACTCAGCCACTATCTGATAGGCTGTGTAATGCAACTGATAGCCTTGAGCAGCAAGGGAATTTTCATTATCAGCCACATTATGCTATCAATTTCGAAAAGTATTCGACAAGGTAACCTCAAAATTAATCTGAACAGCGAATTCGAATCCTATTTTAGTCAAGGGAATTGCATGTATGCTGAAATACTTTATACTTTGTGATAGATATCGTTCGCAAATAAATAAGGTAGATTGTCGTATCTCTAAAATTGTTGGAATTGATTACAGTGTGAGGTAGGTCAGCGTGTTGTAACAAAAATAGCCGTTATCTATAATTCTTTCACTTCGTTGTGCCAAATTTTCAAAGAGCAGTCGTCTTAATTTTATATTACGTCAAACATTTTACGCGCTACCTGTATCCTATACTCGATTGCGTAGATAATAAGTTACTTTTTAATTAAACACAATATTAAGTTTATTTTAAGATATCATTACTTTCATCATTACAGTCTACCTAAAGCTGAACATAGGCGCATATAATCGACGTATAATCAACGAATTACTATTGCCATAAAATCGTATACACCAAACAGTCTCTAAGCTATAAGTTATATAATATGATAATAAATTGATTATAGAAACAAAGATGATAATGTTGTTTATAGATTCGTATATGCATACGTGTATATAAGTGATGTAATGTTCGTGACGTGTAAATTTTTCACAATATTAAAGTGACGTACGAGCTCTTTGTCCACCTGATGTTGAGTACCTAGCCACTGCAGCCATTGGACACACCTGTAACCAACTTTAGACAATAAAGCCCGCAGATGTGTTATATCACACCTGAGGGCTGAAACGAAATACCTTAAAGCCCGTAATTTCATGCCTACCACCTTATTATTTAAGCCGGAACACGGCAGTGAGTAGGTACTGCCACTTCACGACAAAATAGAAATAGGTAAGAGACTCCTAAACATAAAGGGAGACATAGAATTAACGATTTCACTGTCCCGTGAGTTATGAACATTCCAAATGATTAACTATTGTGTCTTTTCGCACACAGTAAAGTAGTTAAAATACTAAACCCTTTGTTTTTTACATATATAAAGACTACGTGCTATATAAAATAAAGTACATAATTTTATTACATGGCAACGAAATTATCATCGTTTATATAAGTAATTTTACGTAGTTTGTCGTCATTGTTATGATGTTTTAAATGGGGCACTTTAACGAATAAATGATAATTTTTATCTAAAACTAAACACAAAACTTTTCTTTTTCTCTATCAAGTTAGGGTAAAAAATTTGTTAAGGTATAGTTCATCGCTGAGAACACAAAAGTAATGTAAGGGAAATATTCTATTAAAAAATATATTGGTATATATATAAATCGTAAAGGTGAAATTTAATGAAAAATGATAAATCAATATTTAAAATTAATATTTACATGCAAATTGCAATAATATTTATAATATTAACTTGCAAAAATTTATTAGGAGGAGATGCGGGCGATGCTTGGTTGAATATAATTTATTTTAATATTTAGCTATATATTATAGCAAGCAAGAAATCTACAAGGTTGCAAGTTTATTAATTTATATGCATATAAATTAATAAACTTTTCTTTTTCTGGTATATCATACAAAGAAGTATTTTTATAAATGCCTCACATATATCGTTGTCGTTATAATAAAATATATTTTATTCTATTTATATACTTATTGTCAATCATAAAAAAATACACAATGCAATGCTGTTTGTATGCTTTTAGATATTTTTCCTTTGAATTCCAAAACCAGGAGCAATAAATTTACGTATACAATATACACGTGTATGTTGTATGAAATGACTCATTTAAGGCGGTGTTTATTGTAAAAAATTCAATCGAACAATCAACAAATATAATTATTAACGAAAAATCTCACGTAATTTAAAAAAAAATTGTTGCTTTTAAATTCTGAGAGGGTTAAAGAAAGAGTCAGCCGTGCTGCCTCGATGCGTGTTGACGAATATCAGTTACCCGCAAAATGTTTTTAATTTTACACTCCGAGGAGGTTGACTATTTGCATACGACATTTTCCTCACAACACAGCACATGATAAAATAGTACTTAAAATTGCGATTAGTTTTTCCAGTGATGCCGGCGGGGATCGAACTCAGGTTGTTCTAGGCTATAAAAATTAACGAGCGCTTAGTCTCTGTAATATGGCTGTTTACTAAAGTGTTTTAGTAAGCAGAAGAGTTCATGAAAAGCATGTCCTTAAGATATTAAAAGAATACTAATTTTTCTTATTTTTGTGTACTTATTTTTTGTATTTTGTGTATAACTAATCTGTATATATATTACCAAATATATAATCTGTTGCAGAATTCTTATCTTGATAACTATTTAAATAGTTATAAAAATTTTCAACAAAGAATCTACAAATATTAAAAAAAATCATCATATATTTTTACGCGTTTAGAATGTGATGTCTATATAAAAAAATCGAATTTGCGTTATATTGTAAATGGAATAAATTAAGAATACCCTTAACCGATGAGCATGTATGCGTAGGTGTATAATTGACGTAAAAGAGAAGAGAGAGGTGTGAGAGAACTGTGCCAAATAGAAGAAGTCGTTTCTGCCTATCCTCTAAGTGAAATGTACCTAAGAACGTTACGTTTTCATTTTACTAGAGTTCAATTACATGCGAACATGATTATACCGTCGGATTCAAAGTTTACTGTGATGATAAATCCAAAAATTTCAAATGAAGCCATAAAAGGTCATAATGTTTTTTTTTTAAATTGTACTTATTTAAATTCATGTTTAAATATGTACACAAAAAACCGAAACTCTACTCCACAAGTGGAAGTGATCTAACTTACTCGTAATAAATATTGGCAAACTTAAAAACTATTTTGATAAAAAAAAGAAATTTAATGTTCTTTTGTAATCCCGAGAAATTTGAACACCTACTGAAAGAATCTTCAAAATATAAACAAAAGAACCTTCAAGTAGAGTCACATAGAGCTAAACACTAGCATTTGAACAGGGCAGGAGCAAGTGATGGTTAGTTTTCTTTTATTTATGTGGCATAAAATATGTCTATCCCACATAATATGTAAATTTATTACATTGTATATAATATATAAATAAAATATACATAATATGTACCGGCCGTGTGATGGTGGCATAAGAAAATCTACCACGCCATATTGTCCCTAACAAAATCCACGGGACGAAATGTGCTGATTATGGAAAAGGAAACAGGAGATAAGCAGCGTCTTCTTCCCGATAAAACCCTAAATAATTAAAAATGTGGTTGCCAATCCGACAGATAAGCGTTGCAACTCCGGCACATATTCCCTCTATGAGGCACTCTATGACGTAGGCCTATGTCTAGCAGTGAATAGGCTGCAATGAATTAATGAAAGAAATCATTTATAGATATTAACGACATGTAAGTATATTTTAGAAAATCAATTTTATAACACAATCATGCTAGATTGGATCCTTATTAATAAGAATGAGTCATTCTTTATTTGATAAATTAAGCCATCCATTACTTGATGATTAAAGTATGAACAAGTTTTTTTTTCCCGAGAGTACTTACTACGCTTTTGTGAAAGACCAGTAACTTCTCTCATTAAACAAAACATCATTTATATAAAAAAAAATAACGTCGTTTAATTACATAAATGCGTGCACCTTGTGACTTCGACTTAACGGGTCGAAGTTTCAGATTTATTTACAATGTACCTCGATGTAGAGATGAACTTCAATAAAGCAAAGTGAAACGAATAAGGCGCGAAAAAGAATGTTTTCGTCAGCAACAATGTTTACATTTAATTATATTATTACAGACTCTCTTTGGATTCTGAAAATTTGTTTGACTACCTTCATAGTATATCTATTCTTTTAATGTATTATGTATATACATCATAAGCAGGCACTTTGTATTTCTGTAGGGACGTACAAAACATTGTTTGCAAACATTAATTTGTAACCATCCAGCAAAACATACATATATTTATCAACATACATATATATATATATATATATATATTAACATATTTAAATGAAAAATAAATATATTTAAAAATACTCATAGATAATTTCCTCGTTCCTCGAACGTACCTATTGCGTTACGGCGTCTGGAAGGGTGCGCGTACGGCTGAAGTACGAGGGCGCTTTACGTCGCTCCAGTCGGACAGCGGGAGGTGCACAAACACTCACATTCAAATATTCATCTAACCTTGATGCGAATCGGCGCACTCCGGGTTCCATCCGACGACGGTCGTCAATACAGACGGGTTGAAGGGCTCGCTTCAGGTGAAATAGTGAAAGCGACACAGGTAGCTCGGATGCGGAAGGGTTAGCGGCGCGGGCGTCGGGCCGGACGGCAGGCGCATCAGCGCGCCGCCACCGGCGGTGCACCGGCGGAGTGGTCGCGAGGCTGCGGCGCGGCGGCCGCGCTACATGTCACAGTGCGGCGAGCGCGCTCCTCGCGCCGTGGTCACCGACTCACAGTGGCGTCGCCGTCCTACTGTCTGCCCGACGGCCGGGACGGCGGCGCGCGTTGCACCGCCCCGCTGCACTCCGCCTGCCCCCCTACCGCTGAGCCCCCACATCTGACCCCCTCCTCCCGCCGCGCGCCACCCGCCCCGCCTCGAAGAATTTTCCGCATCGGGCGGGAAAAATCGATTGTGCAGCGAGCCCCGAATAATTTCGGCAAGACGCACGGCGCCCTTGCCTCCACTCCGGCGGAGTTGGCGGCGGCTGAACCGGTCAAGCGCACAGCGATGCATCTTACTACTACCGCTGTAATTAATTTAGTTAATGTGAGAAACACTACTTTGTATTACCAATTATATGTTATTGCCTGTTGTTAATCGTAATTATTGTTAATATATTTTATATATATTCCGCTTCTCATTAAGGACATGACGAGAAGTCAAGACGCTTGTAATACAAAGAACTTTAATGTTAATATTTATGATAAAATTGTGTGGTTTATTTTACTGTCCATCATAATTATTAAAACTTATAGAGGACATTCTTAAACGCTAACGCCTACGCGGTAATTTTAAGACAATCCTAAACTTCTGGTTCAATTTGAAAGAGAAAGTACCTCGCCTTGAATATGACGTAACGTTACTAATTTGCGAGTATTTTGTTGTTTTAAAACTACAACATTACAAATATGGGCTAAAGTGTTAGATAAAACAATACTTTGTATTATGTGCATCAACAAAAAAAATTACTCATATTTACAACAAATTGTCTGGTCCACTGATTGCTCTCAGCCTATCTCAAGCCACGCCACTATTCGATCTTCGGAACTTCGGTTTCTGATCCACAACCCAGTTTCCGCCAGGCACTTCGTCGCTCTATTTAGGAAAGGGGACATCTCACATTAAAACTTGATCATTTCAACCAATTGCAAAGGCTTTATGTATGTAGTACTTATTTTTGTAAGCTCGGCTCTTTTATGTATGCAAAAGACTTAAGAGTTTTCTTGACTATAAATTCATTTTAAAATAAAATAATAACATAATATAATTTAAATTATAATTTTGAAATTCTTTTCTATTTAATTTTTTATGAAAATGTGAAGTAGAAAAACTTATAATATTGAAAAACGTACTACATCTCAAGATTATCGTGTACATGTATCATCATAACAAGATGTGTTCAATAAAAACTTAATAATAATTGCATTGAAACAGTTCGATTTCAGGTCATCATTAAAGTTAAGTAAGCACCACGTAGAATTACTTTTAAACGATATGAAATATGACATATTGCTCCTAAATCAGTTCGTAATATAAATGCAAGCATATTTTCAATTCTGAGAATATTACATCAATGTCTAACAGTTGGCCGGTGTTGTGTTTCCTATTTATAGGTACATAATTCATAAAGTTGCGAATGGTACTATTCCGTTACCTATTTTTTTTGGATTTGGTCTACATGAAATTAAAAAAAATACTTAAATTGAATTATATCTCATTTTTAGAATTGTTTGTTGTGCAAAGAAATCGTCAAGGATTTTAACATAAAAATGCAAAGCATTAAAATTTCTTGAAAAAATAATTTGTTTTATAGTCCTAAAACCAATGATATTGTATTGTATATGATATCGCTGCCTAAAACTTAATAAAACAGACACATTCTCCTACGTTTCCTGATCCATACTAATCGTATAAAATTCTAATATCCGTTTATAAAAAATTAAGTTTATATGCTTTCTTGTCCAAGATACAACATACCAAGATTACATTTCATATTCTAATAGCGATCCACTCCGGCTTCGCACGGGTTATTTCTGGACCTCGATAACAGCGCCACCTACTGGTTCCAACCGTGAGAACCATCTAGTTACTCACTCAAACACACACAAAAAATTTCATCAAAATCGGTCGAGTCATTTTCCAGTTCTAGCGAGACTAACGGACAGCAGTTGATTTTTACATATAGAGCCTACGATAAAGTGAGTGAACAGTACACCGGTGTTTGTGTTTTATTATATGAAGATGAACAAACGAGAATATGGCCCACTTATTCGTAAAGAATCAGTAATCACTGTCGCCATTAATAATTGCAACACAGAAATACAGAAATAACACTTGCGTGGCCGATTTTCTAAGAAAGGAGCAGGCCCTCCTCTAGGCTTCTACGTTGGTGCAGAAAAATTAAGCTTTTAATAAAAATTAAAAGTGAACTTAAAAGAACTAAGAGAAACTAAATATTTTCACATAAATGCCTTTTTTATAGGATAAGGGTGACAAACGAGCACACAGTCCACCTGATAGTAAGTGGTTGCTGTAGCCCATAGACATCTACAGCTATCCTCGCACACACGCTCTCACAGAATACCAGCGTAAAATAGCAACTTAACGCTGCTGTGTTTCGTATGGTGAGTGTAGAGAACCGGAGACCCTTTTTACTGGAAACAAGGCATTCCATCTTAGTCCTCACGGGTGAGAACGCCTCTGCATTTTGATTTGTAATAGAGGATAGATGTAGATCTCTATGGGCCGCAGCAACCACTTACCATCAGGTGGACTGCGTGCTCGTTTGTCACCCTTATCCTATAAAAAAATTTAATTAAAAAAACATTAAAAGTGGTTCACATTGGGTGAAGATATCGTGTAACATAGGTACATAAAAATGAACACAAAGCCGAATTGGGAACCTTTTCATTATTTTGAAGTCGGCTAATAATCGCCACTGACAGCAACTATTCATAGGCGGCGGTAGTCACTTACCATCAGGTGAGCCGCATGCTCTTTTGCCCCCTCTCATATATAAAAGAAAGATTACACAAAGTGGTCATACGTGGTATACAAGATTGTCCAGCGGTGGATTGCCAACCATCAAGATGATATGGATGGAGTTTGTCATTTTTATCGTAATGTATGATGGTGAAAAAATTTGGCAATTGGAATTGTTTTGAAAAATTCCTTGAAACACCTTCCGTGATAGACGCGACAGAACATACTATCATGGATTAAGTCAATCAGAAATAAATTTGTTCGTCAGCTATGCGGTTCACGTTTTGTTGGATGGATAAAGGTGGATTTGCTGCACGCCGTCCAATAGGGTACCAAACGTACTCATCTAGTTTCCTAAAAATATAAGGAGGCCAACTAAATCGTAACTGTGGCGATTAATCCAAAGTTAATTATTAGTGCTTAGTCTAGATAAGAACGAAGATATCTGTACTAAAAACAGAGTAATATAAATAGCCCGAAGGATCAGACACATTACTCAGAGAACCGAAAACAAAGAGAGAGCTAAGGAAAGAGAGGGTACCGATGGGCAATCTTATAGAAGAGTGCTGCCGATCTCGCACTGGAGTGATGATCTTATAAGATATGTGAAGAATATGAAATCAAGTTGCACAAAACCTTGTTTTGTAATAGATTTCAGAGGATGTTCAGCGATGAAATTATAATGGGCTGTCATTACAATGATCATGATATCTTAGTTACATAGTATTTCACAGACCTAAGAGATTATTGTTTTATGGAATACATAGTGATCGTTTAATTCTACAAACAAAATATTGAATATGGAGAACATATTTTAGAGGCAGTATTTTAATCGGAACAGTAAAAGCGATTTTTCAATTTAAAAAAAAATCACATTTTAGCTACATTCTTTGAAAAGTTCGGGCGTGGGAACATGTTACAGGATATTTTCAATCTTGAAGTTTGAAAACTAAGTCTATTACCGTAATAAAAAAAAAAACGAAAACTAAAAACTTAAATTATTGTAGGTAGTACCTATAACCATTATTATTATTATTAAGAAAGCGCAGAAACTGTGTTTAGCACTATACCAAGGGGAGTGGGACTATATAATAATTTAAGTTATATAGTCCCACTCCCCTTGGTATCAAGCGAGAAAAGATCCAGCCCCATTATTATCAGCGGCGATTACAGGTCACGGATACAGTTTGTTTAGGACCTTCATTGCACGTGCACCCCAACGACCTATAGTCACTACAGAATATGGCACAAATATGTAGTCATCTCTCAGACACATGCATTCGCCATTTACTTAGTTACAAAAAGTAGTATATAAAACTTCATATTTAGCCAACCTAAGGCACTATTTTAAGGTACCTTTGTAATGTTGTCAACACGATATGGATCGAATATATTGTTCATTTCCTTTGTTTACTGAAGGAACTTTATTAAACGTAAGTAATGTACAATCGTTATCTAAAGTAGAATTTAAAAAAATACTACGAAATTATAAGGATTCTTTGTATAACATCAGACACAGTTTCATAAATATAAAATACAGTTTTAGTCAAAACCAAAGCCTAAACCTAAAAGTTATTAGTCATTGCTCCCTTAAAACTAGAGCCGTTCAATGAAATGCGGCCAAAGCCCTTTCTTTATGAAATGAGGTCTATGCACTTGTGCGGGGTGTTGAACCAAAAAGTGAACTTCTTAACACCATAGTTTACCGAACCCTGGTTTAATGAAAATATTATAAATATAAATATTGGTTACTTTTGCTATTAAATTTAGCAAAAGTTTGAAGTTTAATATATAAAAATAAAATTTAATAACTACTACATTACTTTATAAAATTTTGTTAGAAATAAGTAATCTAGAAGCAATAGCTCAAAAGAAAGTCAAAGCTTGAAGATTTTGAGTAGGTAGTTATTTTTTTGTAACCGCCGACCTCAAGCATTACACGGTGAAAGGAACTCTCTCGGACGACTGTTGCTCTTGAATCAAGCCACCATTTCCTTAATATTCTAAGAGAGACTGAAGGTTCTACACATGTACATGTACAATTATAGTGGGAATATACTAAAGTTAACCGACAACGACAAATAAAAATAACCGCAAACTTTATAGAAGTTTATTTTTAAATAAAACAGCTTTAGTACGATTTCATAGCTGGTTCCCACTTTATTTATTTTTTGTCGTACAAAAATAAATTATTAATTAAAAAACCCAAAAAGTAATGAAATTTGACGTTGACAAGAAGGCTGGTTAATTAAAAGCGTTCCATCCATCCGT